GTATAGGTATGTGTAGTCCATATTTGCCACCCATGCTGAGCAGTATGTAGCCTTTATATTTCTCTAATTGATCTCACGAGCAGTTCAGTTCAGAGTCAAATACTATATCCTTAAGCATAGCAGTACTACACATTTTTATATAATACATAAACTCAAAAAAATACATGTACATGTTTTGAAAACTCAAAAGAAAATGATAGGCAAATAATTTATTAAACATGTTGGTAATGCAATTTTGTGGGGTCCCTGGGTGGCACAACAGGAGCCCTGGTGCTGCAGTGGTTAAGCTCTTGCCTGCTGACCCATCAGTAGCTCCGTGGAGAGAAGACCTGATGATCTGCTCCATAAAGATTAAAGCCTAGAAAACCCTATGGGGTAGTTCTACTCTGTCATATAGGGTCCTTGTGAATTGAAATCAATTCAGTGGCACATAAGTACAACTAGGTGGCACAAACAAGTAAGTGCTCAACTACTGGCTGAAAGATTGGTGGTTTGAATCCCCACCCCACCCCCAGAGGCACCTTGAAAGACAGGCTTGTCAAGCGGCTTCTGAAAGGTCACTGCCTTAAAAACCCTGTGGAGCACAGTTCTCTGCACCCATGGAGTCGCTGTGAGTTAGAATCAACTTGACAGCAACTAACAACGTAATTTAAAGAGAATAGGTATTCTTAAGACTGCTTACAGACTTTTTAACCCACTTATTGTTGGGTGACCTTGAGTTGATCCTGAGTCATAGAGACCTCTGTGACAGAGTAGAACTGCCCTGTAGGGCTTTCTAGGCTGTAATCTTTATTTACTTATTTATTTTTATTGTGATTTGGGTGAAAGTTTACAGAGAAAATTCATTTTCCATACAGCAGTTCATACACATTTTGTTTCATGACATTGACTGCAGTCCCCACAGTGTAACAGCTCCCTTCCCACTTCCCACTTCCTCTCTGTAGTTACTTTTTTTTTCCCTTTGTCCTTCTTTCTTATGCATTCCTGCCTGTGTAAATACTATCTCTTTGTGTAAATACTGCCCTTCTGCTCTCCCTTGATTGATTGTTCTAAGGAGTGTATCTACCTGGTGTAAATATTCACCCTATATGCCTGTCTATTGTTTGGCTGGAAGCCATGGGAGTGAGTTCAATTCCAATAGACTGTACTCATTATGGAAGCAGATCTCCAGGTCTTTCTTCCACAGAGCCATATGGTGCATTCAAACTGCCAACCTTTCGGTTAGCAGCTGAGCTCTTAACAGTTTCACCACTTGTTGTTGTTAGGTGCTGCTGAGTTGGCTCCAACTCATAGCAACCCTTTGTACAACAGAACAAAACAATGCCTGGTCCTGTGCCAGCCTCCCAATACTTGCTATACCCGAGCCCATCGTTGCAGCCACCGCGTCAATCCATCTCGCTGAGGGTATTCCCCTTTTCTGCTGACCCTCCACTTTGCCAATCATGATATCCTTCTCCAGGGAATGGTCCCTTCTGACAACATGACCAAATTACATGAGACGAACTCTGGCCATTCTCACTTCCAAGGAGCATTCCAGCTGTACTTCTTCCAGCAGACCTGTTAGTTCTTCTGGTAGACCATGGTACTTTTCAGTATTCTTCGCCAACACCACAGCTCAAAAGCATTGACTCTTCTTCGGTCTTCCTTATTCAGTGGCCAGCTTTCACATGCATATGAGACGACTGAAAACACCATGGCTTGGGTTAGGCGCACCTTAGTCTTCAAAGTGACATTTTTGCTCTTCAGCACTTTAAAGAGGTCTTTTGCAGCAGATTTGTCCAGTGCAATGTGTCGTCTGATCTCTTGACT